GCCTCATGTCACGCTTTTGTTGCTAGAATTGAACAAAATACGTATTAATCCCTTGTATGCTCGAAGGCCTCATTGATCTTCTCCACTGTTTTTTATAAAAAAAAAAAAAAAAAAAAAAAAAAAAAAAAAAAAACATTGTTACAATGGCGTGTGGTTTTATCCAGTTTTGAGTTTTTCAAGATGTCCTCTATTATTTATTTTTTACATATATTATATTGTGAAAATCATTATTGAAGAATATGATTGAGATATGATGTTTATTTTGTATTAGAGTATTTATTTGAATCACCGCTAGAAAATAGACAATCACTAATCAGAATCACTAATGAAAAAAATCGGTCGATGATTTATGATGGATCAGGTATATATGGATACCAACAAACACAAATTTCATTGAATTTTCCGGTGTGGAAGATGGCAAATTACCAATAATCCTAGGAAAGTACATTTTAAGAAATGGTTAGAGGAAGACCAACATCGGCAGGAGCAATACCAAAGAAAGCTCAAGGCCGAACGAAAAGTGGGGGCAGACGTGGAGGCACGATAAATTGTGCAAGCTACCCAGTTAGCTCAGCATGTCCTCTTATCAAAGAAGTTAATTTACCACTTTTATGTAGCAATATCAAGACCCTCGGATCCCCTTCCTTCAGCTAGATTACAAGCATTTTCGGTTTTAAATTGCTATTAAAGTTGTTTTAATTTAAAGGAATTTTTCGGTTTTAAATTGCTATAATCTATATCCACATGCGAAAACTTATCAACATGGCTATCTTTTACAAGTAACTACAACTTGGATGAACCATTGGAGATGAGATTGATCTGCTTTAACAAAATGGACTTGAAAATACTGATGATCCTTAATTAAGTAATTGAGTTTTTATAAGGACATGTAAACGTACAAAATCCTATCCACAATGGAAGTTTTTATAAGAATCTTTTTGAAAAATCAAGATATAAATAACAATAACTTGTAAGATATTCCATGTCATAAGATTACGGTTTTCTTTCCTATGGTTTGAAAATTGTGATTTTATCCCTGTGGTTTATAATTTGTTGATGTTTTTATCCCTAAGTTAAAAATCCTCCATTAAATAAGGGGTATTTTAGTTTTTTAGTTTTTATCTTTTTTGGTTTATTAAATATACTTTTCTTATTTCTTCTTTTGGTATTTTAGTCTTTTTAATTTAATAAAATTATATATTTTTGACAAAAAAAAAATAATACGTAAAAAATTATTTGTTTTTGCTATTATTTATTATAAAATAATTAAATGTTTCTAATACAATTAGTTTTTTTTTCTTCATATTTTTTGGTTATTATAATTTTAATTTCTTATAAGAGTTCTTCTAAGATATTGTTTGGTAAACATAAGTTAACTTATTTTACATGTTTAAATGAACCTAATTTTAGCTTATTGAAAAGTTAGTTGGAATAGTCTTTTAGTAGATTTTTGTCATTTTTCCAATTATAACTATGATTAATATTAGTTTATTTATTATTATTAATTAAAACTAGTTTCAATTTATCAATTAATTTTAGAGTAAATTATGGTTTTCATTCTTATAGTTTGTTAATAATTTCTATTTCCGTCCCTGTTAAAAATGGTTAACAAAGTTAACACAATAAACTTGGTTAACATTTGAACTAGACTCTCTCTCACTATATTTATACTAGTTGTGTACCTGTGCAATGCGGCGGGAGCCATGAATTTTAACGATTTTGAAGTTTTATTGGTTTTATAAGATAAGATTTAATGATGATATAGGTTACACTTGATCTTTACATATTAATACAATTTGAATAAATAAGAGTTATGGTTC